CTTGCTAAGTACCTGCTTGTGAAAACAGTCTCTGCTTGATGTTTTGCTTCTGTTTGTCTCGGTCACCCTCGGTCCCCCTCATTCCTTCGTTCGTGTCGCTGGGGGTGGGACGGCGCCGAGCGTCGGGGTGGGCCGAAGCCCGGTCGCTCGGTCGCCCAACGCAGCTGTTCTACGACTGCAGCAAGGTATTAAATGCCTAGATTTGAGTTTGGCATTTTTCGAGGTTCCACCGCCCTCTATGTCTTGAGGTTTTGTCCTTCATCTTTCGCACTTCACCGGCCGGCCTGAACGGGTCGAGGCAGATTTGGACGCCCTGCATGCCAATCAGTGTAAGGATGGTCTGGCTGCTCGGGCGCGTTCCGCGCGTTCCGCGCGATACGCGCGTACAGCGATTGAATCAAGGTCTTTCTGGGTCCAAGTGAGCCTGTTTGGAGTCCCCAGGGTTCTTCTGGTTTGACCAAGCTTGATGCGAAGCATGAGGGGAGTCTCCTTTGGTCCCAAAAACGTGCTGAGGCTTGGTGATCTTGAAGGCCCATTTGAGACCCTTGCTGGAGCCGCTGGACAAGTTGGACTACAACATCTCCGAGGCCAAGAGGGCTGGTCGGCGAGGATAAAGCCTCGGTCGAGAGGTCGAGAGGTCGATCCAGCTGGGTACAGTAACCGGGTGAAGATCGATGCGCCACAGCGCGCCGTTTCTGTCTGCATCTGCTCTGGTCGGCGCACGTGGCCCCACCGAATTAGATACATAGTGCTTCCAATGGGTGTCTAATGGAGACCTATAAGTAGCGTAAGGCTGTGTAGGGCTGTCCATGAGTGACCCTTTGGAAGCAGCTGGCCAAGTGCATTTTTCAGTCTCGAACTAACATGGAACTGGAGAACGACCCTTTTGGGAATCACTAAGTCCATCCTTTTCACCCTTTTGCGTTCGTGTTCCCCTTTGGGGGGTCCTTCACCGGCCGCAGTGCCAGGCGCAGTACGCGGACTTTCAGGTGAACGATCCGTTCGCCAAGGCGGCGGCGGGGGGTGGTTTCGCCCGCCAAGCAACGTGGTGTTTCGTCGTCTCCACCCTGGCAGCGGAGAGAGGCGTGCGAGCCCTCCAGGAGAGAGAGAGAGAGAGAGCTCCGCGGGGCCGTGCCCCGGGGGATCCAGAATGGGAAGAGCAGGTGGCCCTGGATGAGTGGGGAATGTTGGGGTCGCGCTCTGGACGTCCGGCCAAGTTGGACGAACGATCCGAGAGCCTCCGGATTCCAGGCCTTCAATGCGCAAGCGGACGCCATTCACCAGCACATTAAGGCCCAGCGGTAGAAGAAGGAGAGCCAAGCGGGACGGATCAGAAACCAACACCTCCCGCACCTCGAGCGAGTTTGGGAGAGCCAGGCCACCGTTAGCGCACCCGTTGTGGGACATGTGCCCAAATGAGGGATGCCCTGGAAGCAGTTTATGTTTTGTCCGTTTTGCCGGGCTGGACGTTATTCGAGACTGACCTCTTGGGCCTCGCGGTGACAGTGACAGTGACGGCGGCGGCCGCGGCGCCCCGGAGGCGGTCTTGAATCCCACGTCGGCGGAGGAGATCATGCAGTCGCGCGGCGGAGACGGAGACGGACGGTGTGTGTTTGGCGGGGTGGTTTGGGTGGACGAAACTGAGACGAGACGAGAGGGGACGGGAGGGAGGGGAATTCTGCTAGCTAGCTTGAGGAGGGGCTGGGAGATGCTGGGAGTAGTAAATACAGCAGTAGATGATAATATTAGCAGTAAAAATAAGGACCAATGACTTAGGACTTGTTGGTAGCAATGACATGGGTAGTTGTGTTTTGAGCATACCTCCGACAAATCCTATAAGACAATGTAAAAGCACCAGGACGCACTCACCAGTATAATCCTCAACTCGATGGCAGGAAACTGGGGACCACTTGCCCCAGCAACTGGAAGTGTTTCTTCCAAGAGTGACTCACATCCATCGGTCACCATCGGTCACCATCAGTCCCCATCAGCATGACCACCGTAGTACTCACAGGAACCCCGACCAGAACGCCTTCCGCCTTCCGCCTTCCGCAGCCCTCGCCGTGCGCAGCCCTCGCCGAACGGCGAGTCCTCGCTGCCGCCCGCCGTCGCACAGGCAGATGGCGGAACAGACCTGCCGGCGCCTCGAGAAGGCCGAAGTGGACTCGGTGGATGGAACCGCGTGGTGGACGGAACGTCGAACGTCGAACGTCGAAGGTGAACCCCGGTTCACCGCGGGGAGCAAGGGCGGCTGGTGACTCGGTGGGCTGGGGTGGAGAACATGCCTTTTGGACTCAGTGGACGTCTTCAAGGCTAATAGGAGAGGTATGTAAAGATCTATCTACCAGGAGTCACAAAGGGGTGCCCAATGGAAGCCTATAGGTAGTGTGGGGTACTTCATTGGACACCCCTTTGTGACTCCTGGTAATATTATCTAATACAACCACAGACATACCAAGACGATGTCTGACAGGTGGTGCACTAGGTGACTTGAGGAACAGATGACTCGTCCCACGTCTTCTGCCAGTGCGTTGGAAGCTCTTCTGTCGAGGCTGCGCTCTCGAAGCGATTCAGCTTGTTTGGGGCCCTGCAGTTTGAGAGTGATGCTTGGAGCCCGAGAAGGAGCTCCTCACTGTTTCTTTTTTTGTGTGTTTTTGTAATCTCCAGTGCATGTGTTGGCTTGGTGGACCAGGCTTACATGATTTGGCTTACTATGTAGTATAGGCAATAGGAGGGTCTTGGTCGGGATGGTTTCGTCACTTCAACTCTTCGAGTTTCGTCACATGTCACACGGTGCGGGTGAGTACAGTACAGTTGGAGACCCGAGAATCAATGAATCCCCAATGCATCAAACCATGTGAATCAAACCCAACCATCCAGCAGCGTCTCTTCGTTGTTTCCTTGGTGTTTTTTGGAGTCGGCCTTCGGTGCGATGGCGAGGTCCGGGCGATCTGCTCCTTCTTCACCAGTGTGAGTGAGCAGGTGGTGGCGGTGAAGCGAAACGGACGCGTGAAAACGGACGCGTCGTTAAGTCAGGACGTCTCGGACGGCCGGTGGGTCGACGCGATGCGGAATGGATCCAGGGTGAAACCAACACATGTTGTGAGAACACAGAACCTGTTGCTCTGGTTGGTGTCTTGCCAACATGGGTGAACGGACTCCATGGAACAGAATCAAAAGTGGTCAGGCCCATCTCGAAACGGATTGGTCACCACCGACGGGAGGATCGTCACCGGGTGCTTTCCGAAACGAGTCCCGTCCCATGGCAGACGACCCAAAACACGGAGGCACCCTTCTGTTTCCAGGCGTTGCGGCACAAGTTTGCTCGGCTCTTTGAGATGTCCAGCTTGCTCGGACCGCCCAGTTTTTTGAGCACCACGGACGCCCTGAAGACCCTTTTTGGAGTTGCAGCCTTGTCTTGTCACTCTGCCAAAAAACCATGGCAACAAGCACAGACTATACCCATAGCCGCTAGCCTATAGTAATCTATAGTCACTCTGCCCAACAAAAAACAGGCAAACAGACACAGTGCGTGGCACCCCGGATGTCTGTTGACACCCCTGTGACGTGTCCTCACCAAGGCTGAACTTGGAGAGTCTGGAAGAACTGCGGGAGCTCTGCAGCGAGCTGAAGCACCCGGGAGCGGATGGATGGGAGCGGATGGTTTGGACGGACAGGGCGGTGGGAAGCCTGAAGAAAAGCTGGGACCATTGCATGCAACATGGCAAGGTTCCGCGACTGGTTTGGCCCACCCTGACTTGTTTGGCCCACACGCAAGAGCCTTTTCTTTTTGCAGTTGAAGGGTCTGCAAAACGTTAGAAAATCGCAGAAAAAGCAATCAATTCACTTCAGCTGGAACACTAAAGCCACATCATGAAATCAAAACTCAAGAAAGATCCCAGAAACAATTCTCCCAAACAAGATCCTCAGGGGAAAAAGCCACACCCACAGATCTACCACTCAAGTACGTTTTCCCATCCTTTCTTTTTGGGACCCCAAAAAAGGCTATCCTTTTCGAAGGTGACTGAGACAAGCTCTCCGGTTGCCTCCACTCTCGCTCGAGCGACCGCTCCCCGCCCAATCCCCGCTCGACCGACCGCACCGCCGGCCGCGGCAGGTGGCGCCTGGCGCCCGACGAGGTGCGGCAGCTGCTGCTGTCGCGCAGCGACTTCGAAGCCACCGAGGCGCGGCGGCGGTCCGAAGCAACGTCCGACCAGTGGCGGGTCTTCCTTCGGGGCGGTTCGGGGGTGGGGGTGGCTTTTGGGTGGATTGTTTGATGGAGCGAGAGAGAGGTGTTTGGGTGCTGGTAGCGTGCTGGTAGAGGGTCGGAATTGCACCCTCGGCTTTCTGCAGTGCTCAAACTGGGTGGCCCACCGATTTTTCCACCGATGTTTTCCATCAAATGCATCGAAGAGTTCTGGAGAGTTCATGTCCGACTTCCGTTCTTGTTGGCTTCACTCTGGGAGTCAAAGACAATTCAAAACGAGGTCTTCAGGTGAGAAACTGCAGAAACCACTGACAGTCTGAACATGAGTAGGGACATGACATATGCTCGGTCGATCTATCGAGGATCAACCCTATGCTGTTGCGAAGTGGAAGCACTGATTCGGTGGTGAACTACACCATTCTGCATTTGTTCTGAGCCTCTTCTTCTTTAGTGGATTTGTGTGCTTGGGACGAGTGTTGTCGTCTCTTTTCTAGCTCGCCAGGTGGTCTATTGAACAATATTGAACAATGTTAGATCTAACCCCTCCGGCATTTCTCCTTTTAAGAAGACTCGTAGTATAGATGAGCTCATCATGTTCCTCCCGAGGAGCAGATCGACTACCTCCTCCCGCGGCGCTGAGCCGTGCCGGGCGGCGAACGGGGCTCGGCCAAAGTTGTCGTCGGGTCGACTTGCCTTCGGCCGGGTGGCGCCGTATCTTGCGTGAGAAAAGGGTGCTGGATGCAGCAGATCTGATGACATGTCGGTCGTGGCCAACGAGTGGGAGATTTTTGCGATTCTTTTCAGCGGAATTTGTGAGTCACCAAACATGAGGGTCATGTCACAGTGCCGAAGCCTCAGTTCCCTGGTCTGACCACTGGCACCTGCACTGGCACCCGCTCCACTCCTCCACTTTTCTAGGCGGGCCATCCACCCGGAGGCTCCCAACCCCCCCCTCCTTCCTCCTGGCGGCCTCGCTTGGCCGCGGTCCGTGGCCGTCCACCCCCCATGCCTCCGGGCGTTGTTTTGGTTCTTCCGAAGCGAAAGAAGGGGTGCTGCTCAACTGCTGGAAAACTGCTTAGAGTTTGGCAGCTCTTGTGATCCCAAGACTTGGGTTGGCTGACTTCCAACAGGAGCGGCTTGAAGACTTGAACTGTGGCCTGTCTGGACAGTCTGCTGAGAGTCATCACACCCGGTGGCTCAGCTTTGGGCAATTTGGTACATCAGTTAATCCAGCAAATGAGCATCAGCTAAGCAAAACAGCGATAGACTTGCATGACTACCAGAATATACCAGAATTATCGTCGGTGTGGAGACAGACTTCTCTTCAAGAGAAAGTGCCTTTGGGATGTGGAGCTTTGTAGCAGCTTGTAGCAGTGACAGAACTTGCTGTAGCCATCGCTCTGAAGGAACAATTCCCCTATGATCCACTATGTAAGTGGTTGGGACTGGGGGAGACCCATCCCAGAACCGTTTCTGCTTGGGACTGGGTGAACCCAAGGATGATCCATCACTCACTTGGCTCTGACTGCTTCTCTGGGGCGTTGTGTTCCGCAGCGTTCACCGACCCGCCGATCGCTGCGAGGTCGCAGCCAATCAAAGCATGCGTAGCCATCACCTTGGCGCGGTGTCTGCGCATCTGCTTGGCTCTGACGATTTCTTTTGGACTTTCTGGCTTTCTGGCCTTCCAATCCCCCCCTGAAGTGAAGCTGCTGGTTGAGCACCTTTCACTTCGCCACTGGCACGAAGCTGCGCGAAGCTGCAGCGTCGCTGTGTCGCCACCTCACCAGGGTAGAACAGTAGAAACACACAGTAGTTTTGGGTGGGAGACGGCGGATAAAAACTCATGTAGGCTGTTGATGAATGAAGGCCCTCCAAAATGGAGTGGAGTTTATCACTTAATCAACAGTCTACATTGAGGCATGTCTTCCAGATCAGAAGCAGAGCTTTCGAGAAGAGAAGGAGCCACTGGCAACTGCTAACAGGCTAACACCTGAACAGCGCGCGCCACTTCGCGACACCTCCGTCTGTCCGAGCTCCCGTCCACGCTCTCTGCGTTTGCTGCCCGGCATCTTCGCGCTGCCCGGGACGTTCGTCGTTTGGGACGCCACCGCGGGGGGATGCGGACGGAGGAAGACGCTGCTTACGACCCCCAAGAGGCAGGCGATCGTTGCTGACGCTGCAACGGAGTGATGTATGGAGGCCTCACCAAAACCTGTCTTTCACAAACTGTCAGAAGCAAAAGCTTCTCAGCAGCATGCCCAAGCTCCTGATTTGAGTGCACCACAGTTTCAAGTGCATGAACGTAGTATCAAGGCAGCAAGCAGCACTCTCAGAACAAGATTCCATATTCATCAACCCGTCAAGGAATTTGGGTCGTCGGTCGCAAGTGTGTCTATAGATCTAAAGCTCCAAGTCATCCCTGTCCGCCAGATCAGGAAAGCGCCACATCGTTTGCAATCGATGCGTTCCTCGTGCGGCACTCGCAGAAGAGTATGTAAAAGACCAACAAAAATCACCTTAGTCGGACAATTCAGCTTTTAAACTAGCGTGTTTGGAAGAGTGCTGGAGCTTTGAACGTGCACCGCTTAAAGCAGTAACGGCAACCAACATCCTTTTTGGACTCATTGAGCGTGCAGCTGGCTAGATGTCGTGGCGGGCGGCGTGGTCTGGGCTTTCCGATTTAATTCCCTCGACCGCCTCGATGACGGGTTTAGCGAGGTCATTTCCAATGGTCTCCCCTTGTGGAGCGGGGTTCAGTTCGCAGTCATCGTTCATCAGCGCGAGGAACCCCTATGTCAGTCCCTATGTCCTTATGTCGTCGTTCTCTTGTGGCCTCGCGTGAATGGTAGAGCTAGGGCCTTTCAGCCAATTGAACGAAAAATGGGCGGCGAGTTGCGGCGGCGTTGGCGTACATTTGTTCCTAGATAAATCCATCTATCTTTCTATCTACCTATGTATGTATGGATGGATGGATGTATCCATGTATGTATGTAATCTAATGTAATGTCGTTTAATGTAATGTAATGTAATGTAGTATGTATGTATGTATGTATGTATGTATGTAGTGGTTGGAAGTTCGACTTGGGCGATTCATACCCTCGAACCATACCTCGATTCATACCCCCGAATCATACCCCTCAAAACGTTACACGTAAGAACCAGGTGTTAAGGTGAAGTTTTTGGTTGGTCTTTGTGCCTTGTAGATGTCCGTGAGCCAGTGGTGCATGACGTTTGCAATTGTGTGATCCATGGGCACTCAATTTAGCCAAAATTGTTTGTGTCTTCTTGTGGGAAGAGCAAAGGCTGACATCCCAGGGGTACTCATAATGTTCCCATGTGCCTTCCCTTTGGAAGAGCCAAAGGACCGCCTTCTTTTGCAGAATTTCATGGCCATATGTTAGAATCAATTGTGGTCTATTTATGTGTGGCCTACACACACATACAGGAACTATATGGGTATTAATAGGATCTATAATGAAACTCTTAGAATCTATCTGTTCTAATTGGAACCTGGGTTCTATGGCATGCTGGAAAACTTTTGAAAAAGCAGGGGTGATGGCAAGCAACTTCAGGCTTCGCCTTATTAAGAACATATTGAAAGAACACAAAAACCACGACTCAGTTTGGATGAGGCTTGAACACACAGCGAGCACCAAGCAGCAGACTGCCACAACTTTTCTCTCAACATTATATGTCTGATGTCCCTGTCTCCGTCGGTGATGGTCTCATCTCCAACGCCCCTCAAGTAGCTTCGTATGGGAAGTACAGTGCATATGGGAACCACGAGCGTCAAAATCAAAATTCTGGACGCAAAGCAAGGCATTGGCAATTGGCAAATGACAAACATTGTTTGTTGTTATTAGTATATAATTAGGCGTTTCATTGCTGTGTTATTCTGATTCTGGTTTCCTCACCTAGCCACCCAGCTTTATGCATCCGTGCTGGCAGTCCAATGCACTACCAGGCACTACTTAAGCACCAAAAACGATCACTCTGTGACATCGGCCTTGCGCTTTCTGCCGCTGGCCTTTGGCTCAGCTGCCTTCCTACGCCTTTTCTCCTTCTCCTGGTTCTTGCTCTCAGGATCCGCTGGGGCATCACCTGTGGCGGTTTTCTTGCTCTTGCGACTTCCGGTCTCCGAAGTGCCCAAAACTTCTGATAGCTGAGATGCAAGCTTTGGAGACAGGCCATGTACATCTTTGAGAGTCATGCCCAACTTGGAGCCGAGGTAGGCCATCACCTTTGGAACAACCTCTTTGAGCTTTCCGGAATGGCATGGGTTCAAGAACACATCCGCTGTGACCATGACCGTCAAAGTCTGGGTGGTTTCTTCACGCAGCATCTGCACAGGGATGACATTTGAGGAACAACACCTGACCTTTGGTCTGCATTACATTACATTTGTTTAGAACCAAGCAGTAGTTTTGTAAGTTCTTCTGGTTCATCCTGGATTTCGTCCCAATTTGACAGTTTTTTTTCCTCCGGTTTGTTTTGGTTTGGAATGAAACATAATGAAACCTACTATGACTTGCGTATAAATCAGGCCTCTTTCTATTGTTTAACTTTCAAGTTTCGCCTTCTTCCCTTCTGAGTCTAAGTGTTTGGAAGAACTGGGTTCATTGAGGAATACCAGACAGCAGCAGGCTGAACCTGACCTAATCCTTTAAACGATTTTAACAGGCTTTCTAGTTAAGACCGGAGTTCTCTCGTCAATCAAGACGTCAGAACAATAGATTCTATATACATATTACTATATATATATATATATTTAATGCGCTAATGATACAAGTTAGTTTGTAATCAATGGAATTGGTATACACGTTCGTCTTGACTTGGCAGCAAAATCACGAATGTATAATGTATACTATACTATGTATAAAAATCACGAAAGCTAGCGAAGCTAGCTGGAGTTACTCTTGCGATAGCAAGGTTTCTTTCGACCGGGTGCAAATCCTAACCCCTGATTTTTCAGGTCGAAGACCCCCCCCCCC